CCATCGAGACTTGGAAAGCTCAACACACCCTCTCCCACCACTCTCCATGACTACATGAATCAGAGGTGAGAAAGGAACTGGGAAGAAAAGGAATAATATACAACAAAATGGCAAATTCAAACTTTATTACATGTTTTCCATTTATGCATATCTAAAGCTTGGGAAGCTGACCAATTAGCTAGGCTTGTTAACCAGCAGTTATACAAAGAAGCCTGTCTCCGAGAAACTCCTCCCTCCGTTTCTGATAAACCTTCTCTATAAATTCCTCTATTTCCTTCTCCAACTTATTTTCATATTCTTCATCTTCACTGTCTTTACCTTCAGTATCAATAACATCATCATCATTGTCTTCATCATATTCATCAGAACCATGATAGCTATCATCATGATAACCAATATCAGAAATATTATAGTTCTGGTCATCATCCTCATCATCAGTGCTAATGCTACCACAAACTTCAGCTTTTTGTATTGTTTGGTCCAGCTCATACGTTGGAGGAGTGAGAGAAGAAAACGAGCACTCAAGATTTTCTACAGATGGCTTAGAGCTTCCTATAAAGATGGTGATCATGATAAAGTGGATCATGAAAAACAAAGTTACAAGGCTAGGTTTTGCCACGTAATGAAGTCATAGCTAGAGAAATGAAGGTTGTTATGCTTAGTTATTGAGAGTAACAAAGAGAAGATGATACATACGACTGTAGGCTCTCTAATCCTCATCCCCGAGCGGGTTCTCTACTTCTCTCCCTCCCTCTTCTTGGATAGCAGAATCTCTTAGCGGCATTTTATATAGCCTTCTCGAGTCTTGATGACAGAGCTTAATTATTAATAAAAGTATAGTAGAGGTTTTACCAAGAAATTTCCTAAAGTCTACTATTAGACGAAAAAGAGGTTAGTTAATTACATAATAACATGATTTTTATATTACCTTTGCAGACAAACGGTGTCCATTTTCTAACAAGTGGCCATGCATTGCTTTTTGTGTAAAGCCCTAGAAATCTCATCTTCATCTGATTGCATATTTCTTGACTCTCAAGAGAGCCATAAGATAAAGAAGAAATTAATTATAGAAGAGAAAAGATCAAGCACCTGTTTAGTTCTGCTGTGCTCACAAGTAAAGCAACTCTTCTAGCTTACCATAACACTATCAGGGAAGGACACGTTTATCTTATAATCATTTTTTACCTGTTCTCTAATTTTATTTTATTTCCTCAAATAGACGAACTGTGTACTATATACTTTTAATTTAAAGAATCGGACTGCAAACAAGTTAATTAATTTATATGTAGAACATGACTAAATAGAGTCAAAGCCACAAAAAAAGAGTGATCCTTCACTGCACGGGTGTTTAGCAAGTAGTAAACCAAATTGAGGAAGATTTTTTCACAAGTGACAGAAGATAGTTTAAAAAATAAATGAGTGTAAAAATTGAGAAAAGATACCGATAAGAATATAAATCGATGACTCAATATGAACCCCAGTCTTCTTTGCATACTTCATCATTTTTTTATTTTATTTTTTTATGTTAGGTTATATATTGCCCTAATAAATTTAGTGTTTTTTTATTTTAACTTTTAATATTAGATTTGATGAAAGTGAGATTTTATAAAAAAAAAATATTTTTTTTATAAAATTATTATAATCTCATAACACAACTTGCAAGTTTAACAAGTTAAATTGGAATAACTTGAGTTATTTTTTTTAAGTATTTTTTAAATAATTGTTTCTTATTTCATCATTCAACATTACAATGTTGAAAATTAAACTTTGTAATTTCTTTTATTTTTTTCTATGTGACTATCTTGATCTCATAAACTGATTTGCAAATCTAATAAATTGACTCGGGTTGACTATGTTTATTTTTTTAATTGGGTATCAAATATTTTTATTTTTTTATTGGTTATCTTGATATCATGAATTAGATTACATATTTGACAAGTTGACTTAGGTTAACTTTATTTTTTTTTTATCCTTTTCTAATTTAATATCTATTTTTTTTATCAATTTCACCCTTCAACAACTCAACTTTTTTAAATTTTATTTTTCAATATTAGATTGTTGGGAAGTGAGCTTTGTAATTATTATTTTTAATTTATTTTTTATGGAGTTATCTCAATCTCATAGATTTTTTAATTTTATTATTCAACATTGGATATGTTGGAAATAGAACTTCATAATTTTTTTATTTTATTTTTATGAAATTATCCAGATTTCATGAGCCACTCATGTGTTTAACATATTAGCACGGGTTGACATGATTTTTTTTTGTTATTTTTTAATTTATATTTTTTATTTCATCATTGAATATTGAACTGGTTGGAAATTGAATTTTGTAATTTTTTTAATTTTTTTATAGAGTTATCCCGATCTCATGACTCAGATTACAGATTTGATAAGTTATTCCAAGTTGACTCAGTTCATTGTTTTGGGTTCTATTTTAATTTAATATTTTTTAATTGGACTGCGTATTTTTTTAATTTACTTTATATGGGTTATTCTGATCTTATTACATGGATCATGAGTTTGACAAGTTGATTAGAATTGACTTGGGTTATTTTTTGGTGTTCTTTTTTAATTGACTTTTTTAAAATTTCACTAACCTACAACTCAATTTTTTTTTATCCTTCAATATTAGATTATTTTAGAATTGAGATTCATAATTTTTTTTTAATTTCTTTTATGTGGAGTTATCATAAACTTATGAATTTAGTTTTTGGTTTCTTGATTTCATCCTTCAACATTGGATATGTTGAAAATAGAGCTTCATAATTTTTTTATTTGTTTACTTATGAAGTTATCCAAGTCTAATGACTTAGATTATGGGTTTAATAAGTTACCCAAGGTAACTGAGATTGTTTTTTTTATTATTTTATTATTTTATTATTAAATATTAGATTGGTTGAAAATTGAATTTTGTAAAAAGAATTCTAATTTTTTCTATAAGGTTATCCTGATTTCATCATTTGAGTTGCGGCTTTGGTATGTTAATCCAGGTTGATTAAAGTAGTTTTTTTTCTTTTTCTTTTAATTTTATCCTTTAATATTGGGTTGGTTAGAAAATGTCCTTCATAATTTATTTTAATTTTTTTTCTATATGATTATCATAGTCTCATGATTTGGGTTGCAGATTTAATAAATTAACATGAATCTATCCAATATGTTGGCCTCAATACTTGAAAAAAAAAATGTCATCAAATATCCCACCATGTCAATCTTTAAAAAAGATGTCATCATATATGTATTGTATTTTGAGTTCATTTATTTTTTTAATTAGAAAACAAGTTAGCACCGTTTGGATATTTTTTACATTAAAAAAAATAATTCAACTCATGATGCAACATAGACCAATAATTTAGTTAAATACTAATAAAAAGCTAATCTTCCTAGTGAAAAAAAAAGATATATACACATGCAAGTATTTAACCCTAGCTGTCTCTTTTTAGTTTATATGTTTTTTTTAGAGGTTAATTATGGTTTTTATGAACAAATAATTTTTATTTTTATAAATGCATAGTACAAAAATAATATATTTATATAAAATAAAAAATTTAAAGAAAATTTATAATAATATCTTTGAAGCATTATAAGATTAAGAAAAATAATTAAAAAGATAGATTGCTATTTTTTTAGAAAAAAAGTCAACTAAACAATTTAAAAAAAAATGAGAGATAGTATATTAATTAAAATTGAATTGAATTCCATTTGGTGAATCTGGATATTTTTATTTTTTTTATCGTTAATTCAAGATATTAATTAAAATTGAATTGAATTCCATTTGGTGAATCTGGCTGTGAGTTGTAGATGTTATACCTATTCATCATTAATTCAATTGTCAGGTACTTTTCAGTTCAGCTTGCCATATATCAAATTGAATTTCATTTGGTGAATCTGGCTGTGAGTTGTAGATGTTATACCTATAAATTTGGTATTAAAATGCTTTTATGTAATGATATATTAAAAAGTCTATCGTATATTCTGGCTTTTGGTAAATATCTCCTAAATACCTAGAAGTACTAAGTTATGAGACGGGCTCTACGACGGTCCACTTCACTCTTGTCGAGAACAGGCCGCCCATGAAAGAATTCACGAGAAAACATCTCCGTTGAATAAACCCGAGCTGTCAAAGTACGGAAACATGCCCATTTCCCAGCTACGCCGACCAGCAAGGTTCGAAACCTTATGAACTGACATTGTTTACAGCGGACAAAAACATTTATGTGTTAAAAAAAACCGACCAAACATCAAGTAAAAATAAAAGGATGAAGAAACAGATTTAAAAACAAAAAAATCATTTGGTCTTCCAGTTCAGTTTTCGTCTTACAAAGCTAAAACCGATTGAACTGATTCAACCAAATTTAACCCAAATCAAAATAATAGAACTATAAATAGAAACTTAACTGAAGCGTAAGACAATTTTTTTTCCTTTCAATTTTTGTTTCAGGCGCGCGCCCCCCACCCCACATTGTAATTTAACCCTGGCTTCAAATCTCGCATTTAAAGGCCGGGTTGAAGGAACAAGCTCCTGATAGAAGCTCGGCTAAAAAAGCCCTTCTCGCTTTGTTCTACCATATATAAAAAGAGCCCGTCACTCATGATCAATGGAACGAGACACAGCTCGCTGAGAGATGAAGGATTAATTGAAGGCTCGACCACTGAGAGAAGAGAATGTGACCGGAAGTCCAAGAGGGGCGGGTCAAAAGGAGAAGCAAGTCATTTTGAAGGATTTATCGGGTTTACCGGTTTTCAAAGAAAAAAATCCACGCTGTTCGGTCCAGGTTAAATTTTTCAAAAATAACTACCACTCACGAACACCCCTAACATCCACATGATTTCTCTTGAATACTGTGTTAAGCTAGTTTTGTGAGCCTTGCAAATGTGTTCTCACCCAGACTGGCATTCAATGCAAAGTGCTGATAGCTACATAACTCCCTATTACCGTGCATGTTTTGGAATGTCCTAAAGAGATGCAAATATTGTCTGCAATTTTATATGAAGTATAATTTGGTAGAAATTTTGCTATTATAAGAATTTGGCCTGGGGTTTAGGAGAACGGTCATAAATAAACTCATAACCAAGGCAAATCAAATGTGTTTACAACCAAATACTCTACCCACAACAAACCAAAGAAGCCTACTTCGGATTAGCCCTAGTAATCAGATATCCTGTCTGAGCCCAGCCAAAAAGTATGTCATTCCTAACATCCTAGTTATTCCAGAAGAAATATTCAATAAAGCAAACAGAATTTGATAACAGGAGCTACTCAGACTCCAGGGTGACCAATCAATATAGTCAGTAAGAGATGCTTTGACTAGGACTCTCAAAATTAACCTTCTGGCAATATGTTGATATCAGTTCCTGAGTTTCTCACATCCTGCATGGAGTGCATGGTGGCCCAGTTTTCTCTTTGGAAGGGAGAGGAATTTTGCTGCCCATGTGGAGTACCCACACTTTCCTCTCGCTCAGCAATAGACACAGGTATCACTGGTGCTGGTGCAAAAGTTGCTGGTATTGAGTCAATCTTCGAGTCAATCTTTGGTTTCTTTGGTTTCTGGTCTTGATGATTTCCTGCCAGGAAGCTGCCTACCACGACCTGATGACAAGATGTTAAAAGCAAGTATTTCAAAACTTGATCCATTTCAACTTCTGTTGGGGAATGCAGTGGAACATCGAAGCCCTTAACCCCTTCTTAGTTACTGCACCCATAGCGGGTACTGAAGGGGAAAAGCAAAGTGGAGTTTTCCATCTTTCATTTCAAATGAGAGAGAGAGAGAGAGCGATTACCTGCACAGGACTAGCAGCCACTAGAAGTCCAGCAACACTGCCCCCCACAACACGACCATCAGGGCTTGCCAAAGAGACGCTCATCCCACCAGATCGGCTCCTTGTTCCTTGAATCTCAGTAGGCATAAATGATCCAGACAGGGAAAGTATTTCAAAGCGACCCTATAAAATACAGAAGAGATTAAAAACTCCATACAGCAACTGATCCTCGTACCCTTTCTAAATATTTTTCAAAAAATTAATTTCCAAATACAATTGCTTTTAAATTCTACTGGGAATAAAAAACCAAAACCGAAAACTTGCATTTCCCAACCCTCTTTGTTGGTAATTAACCCAGGTTGAATCCATGTCGGAATTAGACTGCTGAAGGGTATGCATAATTAGACATTTATGTTTTATGATTTGGAGAGTCAGAATATGCTTCTATAAATATAGAAGCCTGGTCTTATTTTACGTGTCTAGAGGTTAGAAAAAACAACAAAGCCGTGTAGGTGGTTAGAAAGAGTTGTGCTGTGTAGGCAGAGTTATAGCTAATTGGTTTTGTGGGTTTTGAACAAATCAGCGTGCACTGTTAATGAGAGGTCTTTAATCAATAAAGCACTAGTTTGGGTATTTTAATTTCCTACAATCTCCCTTCATATTACTAAAAACAATACTTAGACAAGCCAGACAGATGGCAACACGTATGAAAAGTGTTGGCAACTCTCTGCTATTTCCACAAAATTGACCATCATCCGGCATCCACCGATATACATCAACTGTCAGAGAAACAGAGTCTCAATTTTGACATAAGTTGACAGTACACTCATGTTCAACTGGGTCAATTTTCCAGTGTAGCAGTAAAAGACAACAACAGAAGTGCATTGATGTTGAAGTTAACCAGAGGAATGGCATTCAAGGCCTGCTTCATCTTGGACATTGTATTATCAGAAAAACCCTATGAACCTGACTTGATTATTCCAACATAAAAAATAAAAGCTTCTACTTTAAATGGATTATATGAGTTTACAAGTTTCTGGAGAAAATAGGAGACCTGACTATTTGAAACATGTGCTGGTCCGATCCAAGTTACAAAATTCTCAAAATCAAATAAATTCTAAGATTTCCCAACTTGCTAACTTTACCCAGAGAGAAACAAATTTGCAGAAGATCACTTTAAAACTCCAAGACATCCTATACTTTTACAAAATCAAATCCATGCAAATATAAACTACAAAGCTAGTCCACTATAAAGAAAGCTAAAACAATAACAAAACTGATTGAATCTTAAATTTAGTAGATGCACTCGTTTTAATTGTAAAGTTAACATGAGTTGTTTAAGAAATAGGATGGAATGAGAGAATGGCAGACCTCATATGTCAAAGTACCCCCAGAAGAATCGGGTTGACGAAGAGTGACATTTGAAATTACTCCATTAGCAGATAGGATGCAAATAGCACGAGGCCCTTGTTGTGAAAATGATATCACCTTCATGGTAACATCCTTTAAAACCATAAAAAGATTACAAGTGAAGTAACTTTAAAGAACCAAAGAAGATCATGAGTGAAGATAAACAGAACAGTCATGCAGAAGTTAATTTGCAATTTGTCATTTCACGGAAATTAAAAAAAAAAGGGTATTACTGTAACTCAATCCCATCCATAACAATCAGATGAGAGACCAAAATTAATTTCGGCCAGCATTTCAGAAATACCAGTGCTGAAGACAGACAATCAGTTACCACTCACCAAAACAACTTCAAAGAAAGGATGATACATAAACTACAATTGGAATGTACCAAAAACTGGTTCTTGATCCTTTCAAATATCCATCATGATTTCCCTGAATGCTATAACATATTCTCCAGTCTTTTTAGATCAGTTAAATTGAAACACCATATGAAAAATTGGATAGCAGACTTTCAAGTGGAACAAATTACTAAGAAGTATCATCCATCACCAGAAATGAAAAATAAAAAAAATCTAATTGATAAAGAAAAACAGTGTGTGCACGAGTCAGAAAGATGATCTGCTTCGAGGGAAATGACTCTGCTTAAATGGAATAACCATGCAATGAAATATGACGGTCAGGACTTCGGATATAAAAACTTTTGTCGCTATTAGAGGCCATTCATGCTGCATGTTTTCTGAAAATGTGTTCATTCAAGTTCACAAGCCATATAAAAATTTATTTAATAAAAAATTGAAAGTGCAAACAATTTCTATATCAGCATAATCCAAATGTAAGTTAAAATTTGTCTGTCTTCAGTCAAGTCAAGCATACCTCGCCAGCATTAACAGTGATGACATGGGGCGTAAAATTTGTGCCAACAGAATTAGCAGCCCATTCACCTAAAAAGTAACCATCAAACAACACCAGTGAATTCAAAATAAAGTCAGCAATTTTCCCCTAACAAACAATTTAACCTTTATTTTCCTGAAAGCACATGTTCAATTTTCTTTCATTTACTGCTTTAGAGTACAGTATTCACATTACCCCACTTTTTTAGAAACAAGGGAAAATGAAGGATGGGAGAAACAAGTACAGCAATATATAATGTACAAGTTGGACAAACTAAAGGAAACAGCTTTCGGACAGAACTTAGTACAATTATTAGCAAGCCACACATATTCTTTTTTACATATTGAACAGTGAAAAACTTCCCATGGTCAAGTCAATCTCATGAAGAGAAGCTTAAACAGCTGACAAATATCTCAAATTGATTATCATTGAAGTTGAAGCAAAATGACATTGAACTGAAATTGTTGCCACAAAGTAAGAAATTTCCACAGTTTGATAACTGGATATTGAATTATGGAAAACATTTCTCAATGAGTAGATAAACCATATCATAAAGTGAAAATTCATGCGAGTCAATTGCACATACATATGGAAGGACATTATGCATTATAGCTCAGAATTCAGAAAGTACAAGGCTTCAAATCCCCAAGCTCCAGGCAAATTAGTGTTCCAACCACCAATTTGCACCTGGACAGCCTTGGGCTACTTATACAGGGTTACAGTCTGCCATGCAACTTCATCGGTGATAATATTGACAAGTGTCAAATTCTAAGGCATGACTCCAGGAGGGGCAAGTTTGACAAGCATCAAACAAGATATTCCATTGCTTTAGAAGTGCGCTAGAAGAGAAGAATCTGTGCCCATATGGAAAAGAGAATTTAAAGCTCAAAAAAATTCAGAAAAAGACAGTTTTTCAATTGAATAATGGCACCCAAGGAAGGACAGGAACGGAAATAACATTTTGCAAGCTATTTTCTAGTGCAGTCACTGTAACTAAAGACATTGCGGAAGAATTCCAAACTTAACATGCACTGTTTCTTCCATCAGAGCATATTGTTCAATCCTCGTCAAAAAAACAAGGAATATTCTCACACTCATGCCAACCCAACAAAAGCCCACCTTGTTATTTTCAGAACCAGCACTATATAATTCCAAATATAAACAACAGCATTTCACAAAACTGTCCCAGGTTAGCTTTCAATGAGTGTTATTAAGGGGTGAGTTCACATTAAGGAATCTTTGGTGTTTGAGGGACCTGTGTTCTTCAAATCAATCAAAACAATAATTCAAAAACCCAAATTGCACAACTTAAAAACAAGTTTGGAGACCAGTTCAACTGTAACAAAAGGAAACAATGACTAAATCATTAATATGAAAAATTAAAATCATTGTTATTCATACCATTCTGATAATAGAACAAACTCATTCCTAAAGAAATGGGCTTGAAAAGGGAAAACATACCTAAATTCTCCATTCCCAATTTTTTGTACTTCTTTTTCTCATAACTACCAGGCCACACTTTTCCCGGCTTTCCAGCAGAGTAGTCGCCACCAGGTGAGGGGGCCGAGGCAGAGATAGGCATCGGTGATAATGCCCTAGCGACAGCCCCATCCGGTCCATATTTCCTTGGCCTCCCCCTTTTTTTCTTTTCTGTAGTTCCTCCAGTCAATCCCGCACCAACTGGTGGCACCTCTACGGCTGGTGGTGACGCTACAAACTGGACAGGATTTTCAGTCCTAGGAGCCACGTGATAGTTTGAAGGAGCTTCTGCTCCTATCACTGTTACCCCTGCACTTAATCCTTCTCTTCCTTCCATGCATAAACTATTCAACAATCACTACAGCTAACAATCCTATTTTCCAGCTTCTGCAACACAGAAATTCATAAAAATTAGAATCACAATGAAAGGTTAACATACAATAAATTTAAAAAAAAATGATCTCGGTAAAAATAAAAACACAGGAAATTTAATTCAACCTAAATATTAGCATTTTAATTCCGAATTACCATTCACAGAAAAACCTAGAGATCATATCCAAAAAAAATCATATATGAAAGTAAAAAAGGAAGGGAATTTTAAAAAAGCAACAACAATTTGCTTTAATCTTCAAAGATCAAGACCACGAACTTTCACATAAAAGAAAAGGAACTGTTAAACTCTACTTCTTTAAAAAGATGTTAACTCAAAAAACAAAAAAAACAACAACAAAATGTTAAAAGATCATGACCTGCAACAACAACTTCAGGACTTCGAGAGGATTCTCTTCAGAAACTGTTGCCTCTCTCTGAGTCTTTTTCACATTCGCTTAGCTTCTTCAAACAGTACTGGCACTTTCGAAGTTTCTTTTAGCAAAACACTCGAGAGAAAAAAAGAACAGGAAAAGAAAGAGAGGGAATTGTTCGCTTCCTGGGAAAAAAAAATTCTCGAGAAAACAATAGTCTTCCCTTGTCGGAAAAATAATCCACTTGCCTTGCCGGTCTGAACAGCAACCAGAAAACGAAAAAAAGGGAGTGGTAAATAAATAAATAAAGTACAAAAAGGAAAAAACGAAAATGAACATTTAAGTAAGAGTAAAGCAACGATTTAAAAAAAATATTAATTATTTTTGCTAAACCCGATAAATACAATTGATTTAAGGAAAATTTCACGTCCGTGAGGGGAATTGAAATTTGAAATTTGAGTTAAATATGGTTAATTTTGTAATTTTATTGATAAAGAGCATGTGAAATAGGGCAAAAAAGTGGAATGCTTTTTCTAAAACAAAATAAATAAATTATGGGTGTAACATTTAAAGCTGCAAAAAATATAGGCGTTGGATGGCCAACTTTTTTTTTTTTTGTGCCGCTGACCTGCTTTTTGTCTTTTTCGGTGTATGAAAAATCTCATTCTAACCATTGCCATTTGTTGTCGTTGAGAATTACGAACTGTGCCACTGCGCTGTAGTCAGCAAATCTAGATTTTTTTTCCCACCGTCCAAGTGTACAAAGTTGAGTTTTATGACCCATTATTCTTTTATTTATAAATATATTAAAATAATTTTTAAATTTTATTTTTATATTAATGCATTAAAATAATTTAAAAATATTAAAAAATTATTTTTAAAAAAAAAAATTTCTACCATGAAAACAAACAGGCCTGTGTATTTACACATTTGTTGTTTTCATAATTGTAATTTAAAAGAATTATTTTTAGGAAAATCATTTGTAGT